TTATCTTACATTATAAATAAACTACCCTATGTGTATGCTAAACACACAAGGGAGATTTCTCCTAATCTTCTTCACTATATTCAATATGGAGCAAGCGATTAGTGGTGTTGAAATAGTGAAGGCAGTGGATGTGGCCACACCAAGGGGAGCAAAGGGGGCTTGTAGTTCTTGATACACCTGCACAGGGGAGAGTGCTACTTGAAGCATTGAAAGACATCAAGACCATTTTCTCAGGGTGTATGATTCTGTAGAAGAAGTGAACAGAATGCTGGAAGCTAATAGAATCCAAGAAGAATGGAAGTCATTGGAGGATGATTTGCCACCACCCAAGCCTCCAAACCTGAATCGGAGGGCAGTAGCCAGTGGGTTCCCTTCATATGATAACACGATGATGAAGAGGAGCCAGGAGATCAAGTTTCACAGTTCCAACCTTGAGGACAAGGTTGTTTTGCAACGGGGTGTAATAATAGGATATAATGGGTTTAGGATAGAAGGAAGAGAGACTTTATAAAAAGTGTGTGTTCTGTACAGTTACAATCCAACTAAGTCTTACTAGGAGTTAGTTACAAGTAGCCAGAGAGACCCATAAATACACTAACAGGGGAAGAGAATTGGATAATTCTGAGGGAAATAGTTGGAATACTCTGCTTCCTTATACTCTTGTTCAAATAATACCTTGACATGTCCTAGATTTAATTTCTAAAATAATGTTAAACGCAGGAATATAGCCTGCCTATTGAATTGTTTGACTTAGAGGTTACTGAAAAGAAAGATTTTCTTTATTATTCTTGTTAGATATATTATATCTTTTATCTTTTAGTTAGTTTGTTATTATTTCTCATTTGTATTTTGGGCTTAGCCCATATTTTTTCTATTATAAATAGAGAACCCTATGTGTGTATTCAACACAAGGGAGATTAATCCAAATATAGTTTTTCACTATATTCAACAATTCTAACAGAAACAGAATTTTTTTTTATATAATAAGATAAAATGGTCATGGGATGTTTATTTGCAGTGCTCTGAAAATATCCTCATCATATGCGTCTACACCTGTTTCTTGTATCTTTCAGATGGCAATGTCTGATATTCCATCTTTTCCGGAGCACAATTCAGCTAGTGCTGTCACGCCTCTAGATGATATTTTTAATCATAGTCGTGAAGATCATTGTTACATTCACGAGGCTGAAGTAATATTGGAAGCACCAAACAACATTGTGGAACCAGTTAACTCTTCCTTTGGTTCACCTGTGATACTGAAACCCTTCACAAGTGTGCCCATGAATGAAAATATGACACATGTACCTGACAGTTTTACTATTCCTGGATATATGAACAGTGATTCTATTCAACATCACTATGTGGCATCTGAAATATCCGACGATGTCTATCTAGACTCACTACTGGATGAAATGGAGATAACAGAAAACACAAATGAAGAAGCCTTCATAGATCCACTACTAATTGCAATGGAGAGAATAGAGAAGGATAAAGAAGAAGCCTTCAAGATACATGAGAAGAAGGTATGAGCAGCAATCCATTTCTTTCTTTACTCCCACATTTTTCTTAATATCATAATCTTTGATTCTGATTCCTTCAAATTCCTTCTAGCTTACGTTTTATTTCTGTGAAGCAGATATTGCAGCTCCGATCTGAATATGAATTGGAAGTTGAAAAATTGAGTGAAAAGTACAGGATTTTGCTTCAGAATGTTGATACTGAAGTAGCACTCAAAAAAATGGAATTTGAGACACAATGTAAATTAGTGTCAAGCAGTGAGGAATTAGCTGAAATTTGGATCCATATGCTTGATGATTGTGAAATGGCTGTGGGATAATGCTCAGAACAAGGTATCGAGATCATGGTTTGTATATTTGTTGAGTCTGTTAATTATCCATTTACTACTGTATAATAGTCATTAGGTAGAACAGAAACAGATTACGGAGACTAATGGAAAAAATCTACATAATTATTGCATATACCTAGATATTAATAATCGAGACGTATTTACTATGAGTAATCACCCATCTTCTTTCCCTTAGAATCCAAGGCCGGAATTCACCAACCCAGGTTTAAATGTAGTCTAGACTCATTTTCTAACTTATGAACCCTGTTTTTCTTAAACATAATTCTTTCAGCTATTTAGCAACCCTGAATTTTTAGTTTTTAGTAGTCTGTACCTTAACTGCATAGTTATTGATGTGGTGAATGCACCTTTGCGTGCCTATTATTGCTGTTTCATGCATATGCAACTCCTTTATCTACTTAGTAATCTTCTTCCCTTCTGCAGAGGGAATACCCAGTTCTCATCAAGTCCACTCAAAATTAACCCATCTTTGTTGACTCCTACTGTGATGGTCTTGGACAATCCTTGGCCATCCAGAAGAAATCATGGTCATTTCTCGGACAAGACAGCCATTCCAGAAGAAATCAACCCCCTAAGAGCACGCTTTGATCCCATGATGGCTATGGTGTACTTGTCCCCTCTGCAGCTGCTTCATCTTATGCAGCAATTTCCCTTGACATTATGTACAATTGCAACCTTAGTATCATTTAGAAGAACCAAGTCAAACATGCTGGTAGGGCGTGTCCTGTAAAACTAACTATATGTACCTACCTCACTAGGCTGATGTATTTGTTCACCAAATTTTGAACCACAGTGATCGTCTGGTGAAATGAATGTAAATATGCTATATCACTGAACAACTTTCAAAATTGTCTTTGTTATGTGCTCCCCAGCATATGAAATAGCAAAAATGTATTATTGTTAGAAAGTAACATATTTATTATGTTAGAAATACAAAAATCACTAAATAAATGCTTAAAGTGGTTTAAATTATTTAATAAGGTTTAATATTATGAGTTGATCTTGTAATCTGAAGAGTTTCTTGATAAAAAATTGAAGTCTTATTCCATTTTAAGGAAGAAAACGAGAAATCAACAGCTTTATAAAAAGCAAAATTTGAACATGGGGCGGATAATAGTTGAAAGTCATCTGCATTAAGTTTGTTAGTATTATATTGTTCAGAAATACTTTATGAACTGAAAAAAATGATAATGCCACAACCCACCTCGTTAATATTTTTATCTCTGTATACTTCTCTGCAACCTTATTGCTAAAAACGATTCAAAACAAAAACGTAAACAAAACGAACAAATGTAATAGTTTTTCGACTGCAACATATCTTTCATATTAGTATTTACACTTAGACTTCATGAGCATTTTGACATTTAACTTATGAAAAAAATGCGAAGTTTACAATAAAAGAACGATAAAATAGGCTAATAATAACGTAATAATTGGATAGGCGAGTATGCTTAAAATGGCTTTTGGACTACTACTATTTTAAACCATAAACACATAATTTACTTCAACAGACATTTTATAATTGATTCTATAGAACAAAAATTATAGGCAAATGTTGCGCTAAGATTCTCATAATATCAAAAGTCTTAAAAATGAGTAAATATTAACAATTATGCTGGTGTTGTCTTAAAAAGGCTCTCCGAGTGTTAAAATAGATCGACAAACTCTCATGTAAAAAATGTGTTAGACTCGTTTTGATATTGGATTGAGAATTCTAAATTAGATCATGTTGATTTGAATGTTTGCTCACTAAGCAAATTTCAAAAAATATTATAATCATAATGACGTTACTCTACTATATTGTTAGGACTCAAATCTTTTTAAAGGAATTATCATCTTAAATTAACTAATTATAGTAAAAATAATAAAATAATATTAAATTCATAATCCATATGATAAGGACTTAATTATGTGTTTTCTTCATTATTATTTTATTTATATGTTATACTTTTTTGTATACTTTTTAAACAATCCATATGATAAGAACTTGTGTTTTCTTTATTATTATTTTATTTATATGTTATACTTACATTTTAAACACTTTTAATTCATATGGATACACTCTTCTTTGACATTTTTCTAATTTTTGTATTTTTTTTATTTAATTTGATCGTGAATTATTATTAGTGAATTAGGATTTAAATAATTACTTACTTGGTCGTCTTACACAATTGCGGGGCCAGACATGCTTCCTTTCTTCACCACCGTAAATGTAATCACCATTAGAGTCATCATCTTCGTTCCCTCACCACCATGAGGTATCAAATTCCACCGTCATGAATTCAGAACGAGCCAGGAGGACTGAATTTCCAAGTCTTTGTTTCAATTTTGGTGGCACAATTTAGGACTTTCATTGTGCGATTTAGGGTTTGTTGGTTTATTCGTTCTCGCGGTGGTTCATTCCTCGTTCTCGCAGTGGTGCAATTTATGGCTTTCATTTTTGTAGATTCGTGGTGTTGCTGTTTGTGCTTACAATTTCCAAGTCTTTGTTTTGATTTGGATGATGTGATTTAGGGCTTTCATTGTGCGATTTAGGGTTTGGTGGTTCCTTCCTCATTCTTGCAGTGGTTTGTTATTTGTTCTCGCGGTAACACGATTTAGGACTTTTATTGTGCGATTTAGGGCTTTTTTTCTTGTAGATCGTGTGCGTTAATGGTTGTTGTGGTTCATTGTGTCTTGTGATTTGGGGTTTTCATGGAGGAATGATGGTTCGATGGATTATGTTGGTGCAACTCTGTGAACGAAAATGGTGGCTGAAAAACATGAAAAAAATATACAGGTAGATTTTATTCGCAGATATATGCGAACGCATATTATTTTGTCATCCCTAACTAGGCGTGCTTATACTGGTGGATTGCGGCTTTTCCGCTAATTTTATTTTCAAAAAAACTAGTCACTCTCTTGGAGTTAGAAGTGCAGGACACTCGAGAGTTTGAAGTGGAGGTGGGAACAAGAGAAAAAGTAAAGAATAAAGGAATGTGTAAGCACCTAAATTTAGAAGTGCAATGGGTGTTAATCAAGCACGCACAAAAAATATAATGGAGTTGAGAGGAACGATGTGATGTTGGGAATGGATTGATTATCGAGTTTGGGAGAAGTGAAGGCCAATTTCATAAATCTAGAGTTGTCTTGGGGCCCTTGAGGGGAGAAGAGGGTGCTGAGAGGTGACCTTTCCCTGTGCAATCTCAAGTATCATGAAAAGCACTTAAAAAACCCTTTCACAATGAAGGTGAAAGATATGTACTTTCATGCCAAGCTAATGGGTTGACTGAAATAGAAGGAGAAAATTTGGAAAATCCAAATGTAGTTTCTACTTTGGAAGAATTTACAGATTTATTTCGAGCACTTGCAGACGCTAACACATGCTTCACACATGCAAGTCAAACTTGTTTTCGGGGAGCTGGACAGAAAAAGAGGCTCCTTGTGTGAAGGTTGCTTGTCTTGCCCAAGATATAGGAATAGGTCAAAACAAAGTGGCGAACGTGTGCATAATGCGTGGGAATTACCGAACAGTTCGAGCCAATATGAAGAAAGCTAAAAGGTGCTATTTGATGAGCCTACGCAATATTAGGTAGTTGGTCAGGTAAAGGTTGACTAAGCCAATAATGCTTAGTTAGTCTTTTCGGATGATCAACCATACTGGAGACGGAGACACAGCTTGGATTGCCACAGGGGCAGCAATGGAGAATCTTGGACAATGGAGACACAGCTCGGATTCCCACAGGGGCAGCAATGGAGAATCTTGGACAATGGACGAAAACCCGATCCAACAATATTGCGGGAGTGAAGAAGGGCATTGTCGTATGTAAAGCTCTTTCGTCGATGCTACCTACTAAAAGAGCTTACGACCATGCCATCATTCTTAAAGAGGGAGCACATGTCCCTAACATAAGGCCTTACAAGTACTCCTATTATCAAAAGAATGAGATAGAGAAATTTGTGAAAGAGATGATGATTGATGTAGTTATAAGGCTTAGCAATAGCCCTTATAGTAGCCTAGTTATTCTGTTTAAGAAAAAAGATGGAGGATGGAGATTTTGTATGGATTATAGGGCCTTGAACAAGCTCATAGTGCTTGATAAGTTCCTCATTCCAGCAGTAGACGAATTGTTGGATGAATTAGGAGGGGCACATTACTAAACTGGATTTGAAGTCTAGTTATCACTAGATTAGAACGAAGGATGAAGATGTGGCAAAGACAACATTTAGAATAGAAGGGGATTATGAGTTTTTGGTGATGTTGTTTGGACTCACCAATGCTCCTTCGACCTTCGAAACTCTCATGAATCAAGTATTGTGACCTTATTTGAGAAGGTTTATCCTTACATTTTTTTTATGACATCTTAATTTATAGCAAGGAGATAAATAATCATTAGGCTAAAGTGAGACAAGTTTTGACAACTTTAAGACATGGTCTGGTGGTGAATAAGAAGAAGTGGTTCCTTTGGCTGAAAGAGTATTGAATATCTGGCTCATGTCATCTCAGGCCAAGGAGTGGCATCTGACCCAAACAAAATCCAAACTATGTTGGATTGGCCTAATTCTAAAGATGTGAAAGGATTGAGAGGATTCTTGGGCCTGATGGGTTACTACAAGAAATTTGTGAAGAACTATGGAAAAATAGTTTGACCTCTAACTCAACAATTAAAGAAAGACTACTTTCAGTGGAATGAAGGTGCTCAAGGAGCCTTCGAGAAGCATAAGGCAACAATGACTCAAGTTCCAATCTTGGTTGTCCTAAACTTTATAAAATTATTTGTTGTGGAAACAATTGCTTTGGGTTAGGGGTTAAGGAGCAGTTTTGATGCTAGAAGGTCAACCTGTAGCTTATGAGTCACACACTTTCAGAAAAAAAAAATTGAGCAAGTCTGTGTATGTGAAAGAGTTTATAGTAGTGGTGATAGTAGTGTAGAAATAGAGACATTATTTGCTGGGAAGGCCCTTTATTGTGCACACGAATTAAAGGAGTCTAAAATTCTTGGCTGATCAGAGATTAATATGAGAGGGACAACACAAGTGGATATCCAAGCTCATGGGATTCGACTTTGAAATAAGATTCAAACCGAGACTGGAAAATAAGCAGCAAATGCTTTGTTTCGTAAACTGCAATTTTCATCCACTAACACAGTTCAATTTAGTGGATGGGAAGACTTGGAGAGTGAAATAGCGAAGGATGCTAAACTAAAGAAGATCCTCCAAGAAGTGACAATGAAATAAGGAAATCATCCAGAGTATAAGGTGTAAAAGGGTAAGTTATATTACCAAGGTAGATTGGTCATTCCTAAACAATCTCCAAAGAATAACTCTATCTTGAAGGAATTCCATGATACTGCCATAGGTAGCCACTCAGGATTTTTCAGGTTCTATAAGAGAATATCTAACCTATTCTATTAGGAGGGAATGAGATCCAAGCTTATGTAAGAGGATGCGAGATCTTCCAGAGAAATTAGTATCAAACATTGTGTCCAGTAGGGCTACTACAACCTCTTCCAATTCCCAAACAAATTTGGATTGATATATCCATGGATTTTGTGGGAGGATTGCCTAAGTCAAGAGGAATGGATACAATTTTAGTGGTGGTGGACATGTTCACAAAATATGTGCATTTCTTAGCCTTAACACACCCTTATAGTGTTAAATAAGTGGTTGAATTATTCTTAAAGGAAGTGGTAAAACCTCATGGATTTCCAGAGTCAATTATTTCAAATAGAGACCGGGTCTACACGAGTTCTTTCTGGACAAAGTTCAAATTGGTCGGGACTAAATTGAATTTAGCTTAGCTTACTATCCTCGGATAGTCAAACTGAGGTGGTGAATAGGTGCTTGGAGACGTATCTCATATGCATGACAATGACAAAACCTTAGCATTGGTATAGATGATTGAGTTGGATTGAGTTTTGGTACAATACTGATCACCATGAAG